TTTTTATCTATCAATTTGATGATCGATTAAACTAGTTTTCATGAGACTTGATAGCGCTACAAAATGGTATAAAAATATCGAGCTAAACTACTGGTTTCTAAGAATACTTACTTGGGGCATATCAAAAGTTCTGGCTATGACGTTTAAAGAATCGTTTCGGGTAAGGGGACCTATTGAGAAATGAAAAACCAAATATATCATATTGTAGAGCTTTTTGAGACGCGTCGAATGGTATATAGTAAATCGTGTTTTTATAGGACTTTGAAGGACCTAGAGTCAATTTACTGAGAGACGACTACACACCCACACTGACAAGATGATCGGAGATGCTACATATAGGAGGTTGTAGTCCATCAAGAACTCTATAAAATCGTATGTAAGAAAAAATATTTTCGAATAATACCAAGGACCACAATATTCAGAAACTTATCATGCTTGGATGTGAATATGTAGTCGTCTATCAGTAAATTGACTTTAGTTCCTTTAAAGTCTTATGAAAATAGGATTTACTATAATACTATTCGACGTGCCTTAAAAAGTTCTACAACATGGGCTATTGGGTTTTTCATTTCTCAATAGATCTCTTTATCCGAAAAGATCCTTTAAATGTCGTGGCTAGAACTTTTTGTATGTCCTAAGTATTTTTGAGACATGATTTTATGCTTTTTTTTTACTAGTTTTTAATTGGTTTTAGTCAGAAGAAGTGTGATCTATGTGAGTTTCAAGTATTTTCATGAACTTTTCTTTTGTTGAAAAACAGTGAATATCTCTGCTTAACAAAACTCTTGCTCATGTCTAAAAACAAAAGCCATCTTCATTCATCCCTAAAGACCAATCGTGGAAAAAATATAAACAGAATTCAATCCGACATTTTTTTTTTCATTTGATATTAATTCACTTTGAAATCAATTGTTAATTTAGACTCCAAAACGTCCTGCATCAGACGATATAACTGAAATGTTTGATGATACACCACGTCGTAAATTAATAAAAACCAGTCAACAAAAGGAGAATAATACAACATCTTCTTTAACAAAGGAACTTGAACTTCGTCCTGTTCCTTCAACAACTAATGAAGAAGTTGATCAAGAATTTTCACCTTTAACTCAACAAAAACAAAAATTATCAACATTTGATGATGATTTAGCACAAAAAGTTGAACAATGTTTTCGTAATCATACTAAAGAAAAACAAACTGATATTGATATGATGGAAATCGATGAATCACATCCAACAAATAATAATAAACAAAAATCTTCTACACGTCGTCGTTCTCGTTTTCGATTTTCATTTTCGAATAATCATAATTCATCTGAAGAAGAAGAAGATGACGACGAAACAAATTCAAAAAGAAAATCTCGTTTATTTCGAACGCATTCAGCTTCGATAATAAATCATGAAAATCAAAATAATATTAATTCATCACGTCGACGAAAATCTCATAGTACAACTGGATTAGCAAATGAACTTAAAAATATTCCTAATAATAATAATAATGAGCAAACAACAAATATTGATAAAGTATTATTTTTATTTAAAATCAAAACGAAATTAATTGTTTTTTTTTTAATATTTAGAAATCAACAAAAACCAAATCATCATTAGCTAATCGTGTGAAACGAGCGTTTTTCCGTCCACATCGTAGTCCAATAACATCTTCATAAAAATTTCTTTATCTCTCTGTATATCCCGCAAAGTCTAAAACAAAGTGTTTGTCTGACGAAATTATCCGACATAGTCAAATTTTTTTTTTCGTCTCAATATTTCAGGAATCGTAGCTTCAATGAAGATAGATATTGCATATATATATATATACATATATTATTATTTGTTCTATTTTCTATTGTTTATTATGTACACAGTAGTAGTTAATCATAGAAATTTATATAAAATCTATTGTTTTCATTTTTGTATTATTGAATAACATATGAAATGTAAAACGAAAGTATTTGTTTTTTTTTCTTTTCCATGAATTTCTAGATAAAAATTTATTAACAAGATTTTTATTTTATCTATAACATATGGCTCATTGTTGAAGTAGATTTATTCAATATTGAATTCTTTCTACAACGTCGTAATTGTAACTTGAATAATCTTATTTTGTTTTCTTTGTATTTTGAAAAGGTAAAACAAAATCTGAACTGCATATCAGTCTTCTTCTGATGTTTAGTCACTAAAAACATCAAGATTGTCATTAGTGACGGAGCAAGTAGAAACTTATAGAGGAGGCTCAGTTCTTGTTTGAAGTTGAAAACAAGGTATATTGTCATACAATATAGGTACGGCACATTTCTGAAGGGGAGCAAGTCACCCTCTGGTTCCACCACTTATTGTCATGTGAATAATTTCAACATAAAAAGGTAGAGATAACTTGACGTTCAAGTAGATTATTGTCTTTCGAAGAAAATTTTCATTTTTTATTAGAAATAAATTGTTAATTCGTGCTTGCGAACGATTTATAGATAGATGAATAGTAAGTTAATGAACTTGATGCCAAGTATCGAATTTCTATCATACTCAACATTTTTTCACTTTTGCGACACACTTTAAACATAATTTATACGGAAATTGAATAGTCAGATACATCTCTATATAAAAGTCTTTCCCTTCATCGAATCTCAATCACCATAAGGAAAACGAGTTTGAAAATTTGTGTGTTCATGCTTCATAATGAATGTATGATGAATAGTCTCTACTTTTGCATTGAGCTTCATCATAATTCAGGAAGTTATGGATCGAGAGACCTATTATTAGGTAGGAAGTGCTATGTTTCAGCTATCTGTTATACAAATTTCGTGAAGGTTTAATAGTCTCGTTAATAACTGTAGTCATTTTACTCTAATCATTAGTATACAAAAAAAACCATCTATTCCTCTTTCAAGATTCATAACTCAATAATAGTTCAATATATTATTCTGTAAATTTCAGAATTAAACAATATATTAAAGGAATATGACATACGGATGATCATCTTGTTAATGTCGAAGATTAAGAAACAGTAATATTTGAGCTAACGACTTTATCTTTTAGATAAAGAAAGATCATAGATTGGACTTAGGTTTCATGTAAAAATATTCAGAATTAATTATATAGTCGTAAGGGGTAATTCGGATCAAAATGAATTCTTAAAATTTTGATCCGAATTACGCCTCATGTCTGTATATTTGATAAGAAACAAGATAAAATTTTGTAGACAGTTTTAAAGTTCTGCAACTTATAGCAAAAATAGATTCTATTCGAGCAAGTGAGATCTGCTGACGCATATGTCTGATGAGAAAACCTCACCAACTGATACACTCCATTTGAGCTCATATGTAGGGCTCAGAGTGTAGAGAGAAGCTCTAAAAGGATTCTTCGCATTAAGCCCTTGTTCTCGTACAGAGTATTATGAGAAAAACTAAATCGAGAAATCTCAGTCTGAAATTTAGTCTAGAAATAGATTTCATGGTCTTTATGATATCCTGCAAATTTCAGTCAAAATGGAGGATTTCTTCACAAGATAATGAATGCTAAAAAACTGGGATTTGTTCCAATCTTTTGTGAGAAAAATTCATTTTTTGCACACTTTTTATCTCAGTAATAGAGTATCCATTTTGGCTGAAACTTTCAAGATATTGTAAAAGCAACAAGATCTGTTTTCGAGAAAAATTTCAAATTGAGATTCTTCAATTTGATTTTGTTCGTAATGTCCTGCAATAGACAGAAAATTCAGTAAAACGATCGTAATTCGAGAACAGGTGTTTAATGTGGAAGAATCCTTGTTGGAACTTTTATCTATACGATGAACTCGTACACAGTATATCAAGCGATCAAGTTTGCTCGCGAGATTCGATGGCGAAAAAACTTTTGCTCATCTGTTTCATAGAGGTGTTCATTGGGCTTATTTGTCAATTATTCAATTGATATTGCAGTTCACATTTTTTATCTGTTGATGATTTTTCAATAACAAAAACAAAATATGACATTCAAGTTTTAAACGTGATGTTTCATGAAAAATGAAATTATCTATTGAATGAATCTACTTTGCAAATAATTTCTATCTCGATATTGTAGATGTGGAATGTTCATTCAAGATTTTTGGCACGAACAGTATGGGTTCGCAATGGTGAAGTAGATTTAGCTTATCGAGCTTTAAATCGGTAAAAAATATTAAGTGTAGGAAAACATTAAAAAAGAATTCTTCTTTTAGAATTTTAAATAATGAAGATGTATTTAAAACAGCTCGTTTATGGGAACGATACGAAAAACCATTTCGTAAACGTGGTCGACTTTGTTATGAAAAGTATATTAAGATCTATTTATTTAAATTTATTCTTTTGTTTTCTTTTAGAGCACATGAAATTTATAATAACGATATGGAACGAAAAATAAAATTTCTTATGCGTAAAAATCGTGTTAATCCATGGCCATGGAATTAATATCTAAAAAAAACTTTCACCAAGTTTTTTTTCCCCATTCTTTTTGTGTCAATTCGATTTCTATCTCTTTTGTTTATTTTTCCTTTTGTTAGTCATAATTATTTCTATAAGAATAAAAGTTTCTTCTAGATCAAAAATATATACGAATCGAACAATGGGTTTTTTTCAAGGAATTAAAGGTAAGATATTGATTGTTAAAAAAAAAATTTATCTAAAGAATTTGATTTTTTTTTCTAGGGCAAGTATTTTTTTTTTATTGATGAAATCTATACAGTGCTCTCCAAAACTACAGAACCATTTGTTTGATGAGTGTCGACCATTCCAGTAATCTTATGCATAGAAAAAATGATGTGAAGACATGCATTGAGATGTGCTCTGTACAAATGTGAAATCATATTTACTTGATGAAGATGTCAAACTGTAGGAAACAGGTCATCGTCAAGAGCTATTGACTTTTTTTTCTAATTAAAACTGATTTGTGCTCGAGTAACTATGACTTGAAAATACCATCCAAGTATTCTCTATCAAATAAATATGATTTCACATTCAAACAGAGCACATCTCAATACATGTCTTCTCATAATGTTTTTTTTTTGCGTAAGAGAACTGAAACGATTAAATCTCATCAAACAGCTCTATTCAGACAAGTAGTTCTATAATCTTGACCAGCACTGTATATTTATTATTGCTGTCTTATCTAGTGTTGTTCTTCTGGCTTTTCTGGCTTCTATCGGTCTTACATTACTCATCTTAGGTTGTGCATTGTCTCAATAGTATGTATTTTTTTTATTGTTGCACCTTTTTCTAAATGAGATTATGTTTTAAAGTAATTGGTGGCCAACATTTGTAATTATATTTTATGTTCTTTCTCCGATTCCAATAGCCATTGGACGTCGATGTACATCCGATGGTGGTTATAATATGCGTGATTCAAGTCCATGTGCGGATTTAATGTGGTTTATAACAAGTGTTATTGTTGTTTCAGCATTTGGTTTACCAGCGGTTATGTATCGAACATCTGTTGTATGTGAATTTTATTATTTTTGTTATTTTAATTTAATATGTTTTTTTTTGTTTTTCTTCATTTTGAATTTAGATTCCAGTTGGTTCAATGGCTTTTATAATGTCGGCTAATATTGTTATATTTACAACGATTACAATTTATTTCGTGACATTTGGATCAGATGATAGTTTACCTAATTTTTAAACGAACAAAAAAAAATTTAATGGTTTGAAAAAAAAACAGGACATGTAAACGATTTTGTATAAGTGTGTCATTCGCTTTTCTCATTGTATTGTCAGCTTTATTGTATTTTATTAAGTTGAAAAATAACGCTTTTTTTCTCAGACTAAAAAAATCTCTATTAACTATGTTTTTATTGCTGTTCGTCTGTATCTTTATGTAATAAATGTACGAAAACATATGATATTCATAGTTCTCAATTTGGATAGACAATTTCATGAATAATCTACTAAAAGATAAAAAAATGTCATATTTATATATTATTTGAAAACTTATAAGAAACAAAGATAATTGATTTGCATATATTTTCTATTATCAAATAAATCTGTTGTTATTCAAATATATTTAAATCAAAAGTACATATCTTCGAAAAAAAAAATTTAATCTCTATATTAACCTATGATAGAAATTATTGTTACTAATGCATATAAGAATCAATGTTTTGAATATTTCACATTAGTCGTCATCGTCAGATGTACTATGAACAGGAATGGACATTCATCATCTTAATTCATTAAAAAACGATTAGCTATCCTTTTCTTTTTTCTTATCGTCAATACTTAAATAAAGCTAGATTCTTTCTAATATGTTAACAATTGATTGAATAAAATTATGCAAACGTTCAATTCCTTATGATTTTTTAATTAACATTTAGTCGATACATATTTCTCTTTTAAGTTTTGTATAAATAATTTGAATATTCAGTTTGTTATATACTACTACATTCAATTAATATCAGCTTTTTTTTCGAGCTGATTTATCTCATAAGATATAAAAAACCGAATTGAACTACTTTTTTTGGATTTGACTTATTCTGAAAAATAAAATATGTAAAAGATTCAATCAATAAAATCTATAATGACAAGTTTTATTTGTTAGTTGTTATTTAATTACAAGCATTTATCAACGAACACACAATAGCATGGTCTCGACTAATTCAATGTTAGTCTCGATTAATGTTTTTTTTTCACTCTTATGAATGTTAAGTGAACAAGTATAAAGTAATTTACCTTTCATCTTGTTCTTTTCTCTATGTTGTAGTCATATTGACGAATCGAAGTTCTTTTCTTTTTCGTCTATTGTTTATTCTGTATTCCGTATGACTATACATATGTAAGACAGGAGAGAATAAGTGAAATCTGTTATCGTATTTATGACCATTTAAAATTGTTTCGAGTATCAAGATATAAGCATTTGTCGACTAGTTCATTGACAATGCAGAATAGTTTGGTTGATGGTCATATTCAACATGAATTTCGATCTGTTTTAAATATTCTTATTCATTTTTCATTTTCACTTACACAATTAGTAAGTGTACTTGCTATATTAGGTTTACAAATAGCATTAACCATTACTCAAACATGCGCATATCATTTTGGTATTGGTTTCTGGACATTTCCTTTCTTAATTATTTCTCCATTAAGTATTTGGTTAGTTATTTGGCGACGTAGTTCAATGACTTGTTTTATTGCTATAGTTATTCATTTTTGTTCAACTCTTTTTGCAACAGCTATAATTATTCTTAGTTTTCTTGTGTTAATTGGTCAAATTGGATTTACATGTTCCATATCTTCGTTAAATACATCTTATGTAATACTAAATAGTTCATTAATTGGTATGAGTAGTTTCTTCAAATTATTTAATTATGGTGAACTTATTTTACTTTATATGCTTATTCGAAGTCATGATAAAATATCAACAATATATATTGATGAATTTGTTCAAAGAGACTATTCATTTATACCAGATTCTATCTATGTCAATGCATGGCGTTCATGGTCGGAAGTTAACAATGAAATTCGTAGTAATTCAGATGTTTTTTTTGTTTGAAAAAAAATGGATAAATAAACTGTTATTCAATAATGTAAATATAGATTTTTGAAAAAATAAAAGCTTTTTATCTTATGAACCAATGATAGTTGGCATTTTTTTTTGAAATGAATCTTTGATAGTGAATAAAAGATACGAAGTAGAACAAATTGAACACTTATAATTTTTTTGTGTTGCTTGTAATGATGAATTATTTGCTAAACGATGTAGTAAATGTGGAAAACCTATACCACATGATACAAGACATACTATATTTGATCATAAACCATATCATGAACAATGTTTTTTATGTGCTAAATGTCATCGACCAATTGGTTCAAAGAAATTTTTTAAAGATCATCGTGGATTTATTTGTTCAAATTGTGGAAATTCTTAACATGAGTGGATGATTAAACAAGAGAAGGAAAAATAAGCATTATATCAGTTATTTTTATTTATATAAAAAATAAATTGTTTCTTCTTTAGTTTTATGAAATAAATTTTGCAAAGATTGATCAGAACAGAGACATCATATTCTGATAAATCTCAACAAGGTCGATTTTATGTAACGTTCCATTAGGTTTTTTTTTCTTTCTCTTTTATAAGTGGGGAACAAATGCTGTTAGAGATTATCAAAAGAACTCTTCAAATTCGTTTAAATAATACTCAGTTTATTAACAACGAAAGTACTCAATTTTCATAGGCACGACGAAATGAATTTCTTTAAGTTTTGTACGCATTACAATTTTTTTGTGTGCTTATTTATCATGTCATAACAGTGACAACAGAGAACTATTTTTCCACTATACAAATGATAAGCCATAAAAATTCCGATGATGGTCGTCTTAGATTGTCAACGATACTTCGGAGTGTATTTATTGTTTCTTAGTCTAGACAAATCGTAATTAATTTAAATGAAGAAACTACTGACAGGAACAGATAGCCTATAGAATTCACTCTATTAGAAATATGGATCCGTAAAATGACTTTTTGAGTGAATTTGACATTAAACAATCTGAATAACATCGTATTTTTTTGTTAAAACTTAATCAATAAAGAATGATTGAAGCATTTTTATTCTCTATGTTCATTCTATCTCAGATATACTTTGAGTAACAACTGAAATTTGAGAAATGGTTCCCTCGTTAGTTTTCAAAAGTGCCTTTCATTTCTCCCTGTTTTATATAGATATCTCAAAATAGTTCTTGTCTTTTCATCTTAAATTCATCGAATATATGTTATGTTCGTCATTATTTGGTATTTGTATGTCAATAAAAGTATATACAAAACAAATAAATTATTCTTGTCATTACATAATTGTTGTAACAAAGGAGTAAATTTTATTTAGCCTATTGTCAAAAATAAGTACAAAAACAAAGAAGAAAAAGTGGAAAATAAAAGAAGAAAAAAGTGGAAAAAAAGTTCTTTTTTTCTTTTTTTTTTATAGATCAAAATATATAATAATCACTTCCTTAAATAGTTAAAACGTTTGTATTTTCATTGTTTTTATTGGATCATTCATTAAATAGACACAAGATATTTACAATAATCTAATTTAATACTTCTTCTATTTCGAAGTAAGATGTGTCGTTTGTTGATTTGTTGTTGTTATTATTACTTCTTCATTGAACATTGTTCCTAATAGGGATGCACCAATTCCAATTCTTAGAATTGGTTGGAATTGGAATTGGTAAGAATTAGTTGGAATTGGAATTGGTCGGAATTGGAATTGGTCGGAATTGGAATTGGAATTGTAGGAATTGGAATTAGTTCGAGTTCCCTTAAATACGTATGGAATCCCAGGAATGGATATGGACCTGCTCTGAAACTCACTGGACTTCGCTTGAGACAACTATAATTCCCATGGCGTCCAAACAATTGTTATACAATTCGCCTGGAATTAGTTCGATCTCAAACCGTTTTCCGTACAATTCGTATGCAATCCTAGAAATTCGTGTGGAATTGGTTTCAAACTGGCTAGGCTTGCCTTCAGCCGGCTACAACTCTTATCGAATCCTAAAAATTTCTATGATATTGGTCTCAAACAGGCTAGGCTTGGCCTTAGCTGGCTACAATTCTTCTCGAATCATAGATATTCCTATGGAATTGGTCTCAAACTGGATAGGCTTGGCCTCAGCTGGCTATAATTCTTCTCAAATCGTACAAATTCCTATGGGATTGGTCTCAAACAGGCTAGGCTTGGTCTTGGCTGGCTACAATTCTTCTCGGATGATAGAAATTCCTATGAAATTGGTATTAAACAGGCTAGGCTTGGCCTTAGCTGGCTACAATGCTTCTCGAGTCATAGAAATTCTTATGAAATTGGTATTAAACAGGCTAGGCTTGGCCTTAGCTGGCTACAATGCTTCTCGGATCATAGAAATTCCTATGGAAATGGTATCGAACAGGCTAGACTTCGCGTTAGATGGCTACAATTCTTCTCGAATGATAGAAATTCCTATGGAATTGGTCTCAAACAGGCTAGGCTTGGTCTTAGCTGGCTACAATTCTTCTCGAATGATACACATTGCTATGGAATTGGTATCAAACAGGCTAGGCTTAGCCTTAGTTGGCTATAATTCTTCTCCAATGGTAGAAATTCCTATGGAATTGGTATTAAACAGGCTAGGCTTGGCGTTAGATGGCTACAATTCTTCTCGAATCATAGAAACTCCTATGGAATTGGTCTCAAACAGGCTAGGCTTGGCCTTAGCTGGCTACAATTCTTCTCGAATGATAGAAATTCCTATGGAATTGGTATCAAACAGGCTAGGCTTGGCGTTAGATGGCTACACTTCTTATGGAATCTTAGAAATTCCTATGGAATTGGTCTCAAAGAGGCTAGGCTTGGCCTTAACTGGCTACAATTCTTCTCGAATGATAGAAATTCCTATGGAATTGGTATCAAACAGGGTAGGTTTGGGGTTAGATGGCTACACTTCTTATGGAATCCTAGAAATTCCTATGGAATTGGTATCAAGCAGGCTAGGCTTGGCCTTAGCTGGCTACAATTCTTCTCGAATGATAGAAATTCCTATGAAATTGGTATCAAACAGGCTAGGCTTCGTGTTAGATGGCTACAATTCTTCTCGAATGATAGAAATTCCTATGGAATTGGTATCAAACAGGCTAGGCGGGTGTGGGTGTGGGTGGTT